GATTGCATTAAAAAGGGCTCAAAGGGTAAAAATATGTAGAGAGCCAGCTTAAGAAAATTGCAGCCGGCTCTGGGAAGCAAAAATGCAGAGAGCCGGCTGCAGATTTTGTTGAGCCAGCTCTACAAGCCAGAAATTCAACTGCTGTTTTGGCGCACGCGAAAAATGGAAGCAGAGCCGGCTCCAACTTTGCAGCCAGCTGTGATGGTGCATTTAATGCACAACGGTCGAGTTATTTGAAGATTATTTAATGTGTTTAAAGTTGGAATCCCAAAGCTGGCTCTAGGCTTTGCAACCGACTGTGGAGGAAAACAGATTATGCAGGAATCCCACAAAGCCGGCTGCAGAAATGGTGAGCCAACTATGCAGAGCCGGCTCTAGGAAGCTGAGCCGGCTCTCCTGACAATCCTGCAACTCGAGTTTTGCGTCTTGCAGAGCATTAAATAACCTCCAACGGCTAGTAACGGCTATTTTCGACTATGTGGGTATAAATATGATTGGTAGAAGATCTAAAGGAGGTTAAGAGAGCATTGTATTGAATATCTTTACCTAACTACATGAGCTTTAACTTGAGTTTTTGATCTTTGAGAGATCTTTCCATGTAATTCTCTTCTTGTTCTATTTGTGAGTGATCTTGGGGTGTGATTATTCCTTCAAGAGTGATTTATTGAGAGGATTCGTGGGGTTTACATTGTAAAAGAGTGAGGTTTGAGAGAAATATTCATCTTCTTGTAAAGGATTGAGTGGCTCCTTTAAGCCCTATTGTTTTTGTTAGTGAAGAGTGTGGAGGAAATCCTTGGTGAGTGAAGCCAAGGTAGAGGACTAGACTCCAAGTGGTTGGACCGAACCTCTATAAAATCATTATGCAAGCTCTTCTTCTCTACTCTCTTTATTTTTGGTTTTGTGGTTGCAAAAAGGGGAGAATTTTTGGAACTCCAATTCACCCCCCCTCTTGGAGTGCATTGAGTCAACAAATGTCAACTTTGAGTTTTTTTCTATTTAAGGATTAATTGATGGAGATGCTGACATGGCAAATGAATTTTAAACGGATGTTTTAAACGGAATGCAGATGTGTTTGCTGACTAGACCAAAAAATTAATTAAGAAAAAAACAAATTAGATTAGTGGGCCCATTTACCTTGGAAGATTATACGACAAAGCAAAAAAGAAAATGGTGAACCCTAGAGTTTGACACGGCAGGAAGAATCCCTCCAAAGTCTCTTTGACATTTAACGTTGATGATGTTCTCCCAACAACCAAAATAAAAGTTCCAAAGAATCCATGCTTTACTCTGATTCTACTGTCTAATTCTGTAGAGGACCAAACTTGCTTTGAAGGACATTCAGTTGCTTTGCAGACTTGAAGTGTCTTTCTTTTCATCTTTTCAAGGTAAAATTTCATGAATTATTTGTTAAACTATTTTGAATCACGTGCAAAGAATGAGATTAGCAATAGTTTATTTTAAAGTTTTATGAATCTTTCAAATAATTTATGTCTCATGTCATAAGTCTAATATTTTTAATCCTTTATTCTGTTTTGTTCGGTTGGTGGGTGTGCATTACTTTTTTTGGATTGATTTGTGTTGGTTGGCCTTTACATTAACTTTCCGTGGACGTTTATTCAAAGGTGAGACTTAGACTATGTTTGGTAGTGGGACAGACCATATATCATGGGTTTTTTTAATTATTATTTTTTTTTTCAAAAATTGGTGTTCTATTAATACATGGAATTTTTAATTGATTGCACTTTACTTTCTATACTTCTCCAGGATGCGAGGAAATACTAGGTTGAATAAATATTATGGTGGGGTTTTAGTGAGGTCCCCTGTGGTTGATTATGTTGGAGGTAGCTTAATTAAAGATGATGAAGTAGACCCTAACTTCCTCTGTTATAAGGATATTGTTGATGAAATAAATAAAGTTTGCTCATATGGTATAGAGAGTATGTTTTATTCACTCCCAAACCAACCAAGTTCAAATGTTTTAATGCCTTTAAACAATGATAGTGATATTCTGAAGATGGCTAAGCTGTTGATTGCTCATGGAACAATGAATGTATTTGTTGTGCATTGTGGCAATTCAAAAATTTCAAATCAGTGCATTAATGAGTTTAGTGATGATGAAAATGATGATCTTGAATTTGATAATGAAGAAGATGTAGTCCTTTTTGATGTTGGTGTCATTAATGATAATGATGATCCTGAGTTCTTGGGAGCAATTAACAACTCTCAAGGTAATTTATCAGTTTCTGCACAGCCTATTTCTAAAAGTCAAATATTTGTTACAGTTGAATCTGATGCACCAAATGTTGTCAATAATCCAAGTGTTGGAAAAAGGGGTCTAGGAAATAGGGGGAAAAACCGAGCAAAAACAAAGAGGAAAAGGCTTAGTCAATTAAATCTTCCTGAAAACTTAGTAGAAAATAGTGTTCCTTATGATCCCTTAGTTGATAGCCAAACTTTGACGGTTGGAGGTGGGGACTCAGATTATATTGATAGTGATGATCCTAGAGAATATAATTCAAACAATTCTGAAGATGAATTTTCTGTTGAAGAATATGCAGTTATAAGGAGAACAACTTGCCCAATTTATGTTAAAGGGAAAATAACAGATATTCCAATGTTTGAGGTTGGTATGAAGTTTACTAACTATGATGAGTTTAAAGAAGCCATAAGGACGTATGTTGTCTTGAAGGGTTATGTTCTTGAATGGTTGAAGAATGATGCAACCTCTCAAAGGTTGTAATGCACAGGTCCTTTTTGCAAGTGGTATATAAGCGCATCTCTTTCTAAGAAGGATGAGTGCTTTAGAATTGTTTCATATTCGAGGACTCACAATTGTATCAAGAAACAAGAGAATCCTATGGCTAATGCAGTGTGGCTTGCTAGGTATTTGAAACCTAAAATAGACTCCAATCCAATGATTAAATTGAGGCAATTGAAGGATGCAGGCAAGGAGGAGCTAAATTTGGTTGTTCAAACTACTATGATGAAGAGGGCAAAATCAATAGTTCTCAATGAGTTGGAAGGGAACTACAAGGAAGAGTATGCATGTTTAATGGGGTACAAAGCTGCCTTAGTTGAAAAAAACTGAGAGAACATTGTTGATGGGTTGTATGACACATACATTAACAATCCGAATCCTGTTTTCAAAAGCATATACATTTGTTTGGCTGCATGTAAAAAAGGATGGATGGAAGGTTGTAGAAGAATTATTGGCATTGATGCATGTTTTTTGAAAGGTATGTGCAAAGGGGTGTTGTTGACAGCAGTTGGTATAGATGGAAATAAGCAGATGTTTCCGATTGCATGAGCGGTTGTTAGTGGTGAATCTAATGAGACATGGGGCTGGTTTCGCAGTTGCTTAGAAAGGATTTAAATCTTGGACTTGGTGAGGGATTAGTTGTGATGTCTGACCAACATAAGGTAATAGTTTGTGAAAATTATTTATAATTTCATATTATACTTTAAGTATGTTTCTAATATTATTGACATTCTCTAATTGAAAATTTCAGGCCATTATATCTTCTGTGCATGCTTTACTTCCAGAGGCTAAGCACAAATTTTGTGTTAGACACTTGTACACCAATTGGTCAAAGCAGCATAAAGGAGAAGAAGAAAAAAGAATGTTTTGGGCATGTGCCAAATCAACCTACATGGAGCAATTTGAGAAGAATTTCCAGAAACTTGCTAAAAAATGCCCTGAAGGATTTAATGACATTTCTCGTTTGACAGGTAATTTTTGGGTGAAGGCTTTCTTTGAAACTGATTGTAAGAGTGACATGGTTGATAATAATTTGTCTGAGGTGTTTAATGCATGGATTTTAGAAGTTAGGTGCAAAGCAATTTTAACAATGTTAGAAGAAATTAGACATATGGTTATGAATAGAATAAAAATAAAAAGAGCATCTGTTTCATCATGGAATAGGGACATTGCACCTAGAATTAGATCAATTTTGGAAGAAAATATTGAGGAAGGGTGCACCTGGAAGGCTCAAGGGAATGGGACTGAGAAGTATGAAGTTTCAAAGGGTGATTTCAGATTTATTGTGAACATGAGTAGGAAGGAATGTACTTGTAGGGGGTGGAATCTTACGGGTATACCATGTTGTCATGCCATTTGTGTGATGTACTCATGTAATGTTAACATTGAAGATGGGGTTGCACATTGGTATAGAAAGTATACATACCTACAAGCATACAAATTCTCAGTTGATTGTATAGAAGGATTAGAGACTTGGAAGCTACATAAAGGTTTGAAGCTGGATCCACCACCATTCAAGAAGGACAAAGGCAGACCCAAAGTGCAAAGGAGAAAACTAGCACATGAGACAGCAAAAGTTACAAGAGGAGATGAGGAAAAGCTTTCTAAAAAAGGTGTGCAAATGACTTGCTCTTGGTGTGGGTTTCAAGGGCATAACAAGAGATGATGCCCACGGAAAGATGATCCAACCTTCAAGAGAGATGTTCCTGAGGTTAACTTTTTTTATTTTAACTGCTTTATGTTTTTATTTGCTTGTTTTTTCAAAGTCTAACTGGATATGTTAATTTTAATTGTACAGAAACCTCTAAAGATTAAACAGAAATCAAAGGCCACTCCTCCTCAAGCTCAGTCAAGGGTAGTTTTGAATGTCAGAGATGCATTTTCTGGTCCCCCAACTAAAAAGATACAAAAAAAAGAATTCAAAAAAGGTATAATTCCATAATTTCTCCCTAATTCTATCATTTATTATGTTATCATAATTTTTTTAAAAGTAATGTATTATTTTTTGCAAGGATACTGGAAATGCAAAATCAAAAAGACAGAAAAAGTTCCCCAACGAGGTTGAACCTTCATGCTCACAACAGCAGTCCACACTTTCAAGTCAATGCCTCACACAAGAAAGTCAGAATTTTAGTCTAGACCGACCATGAATCTATGTTATGGACTTTTTCTTTTTATTTTTTGGTAGGAGTTATCTCTGGTCTGTGGTGATTATTTTTTATGGAAGACAGATCCATGTTTATGTTGACAGGAGCCATCTCTGTGTAGTTGTGTTTTGAAACTTATGGACAAAATGAAATCTGATTTTCAATCACTATTTCCCAGTCTATAGATAAATTATTCCACTTGTATATTTTGTTTTTTAGTTGATGCACAAAATGGAACCTATTTTTCTATTTAGTTTCTTCAATTTAAGATATTATTCAGTAGCACAATGGTATGCAAAAGACAATTTGATAAGGAAGATGACAAGTTTTATTTAAAAAGAAAACATTGTACAATGTCGTTTCCAAAGCAACTTGGCCTTAACATCAATATACATTCCATGCTTACAATTTTTGCATCCAAGACCATTTCTACAATCTAAACTAGTACATACAATAACATCAGAAGAAAATAGATTATGGCATGGCCATAACAAAAGCCTTCCTTCAGAACTCAGTATTTGGTGATTCACTTTGCCAGTTTCTCTGCAAAGCTCTTTTTGTGCTATATATTGCTCAATGTTTCCCCAGCAATGTATAATTTGTCCACAACACAGCCGAACTTTTCCCCTGCACTTTTCAACTTTTGTTCACTTACCTGTACCTCACACTTCACTGGCACTTTCAACAATACAATCATTAAGCTCTTTTAATTTCATTTTCTCAATATCCAATTTAGCCCTCAATTCACTAATCAACTGCTCATTCAACCTTTCCTTTTTATTTCACTGAATTCAGTATATTAACAAAAGATAAGGCTCCATCGGATTAACAATCCACACCCAAAATTTGCACTTCCTCTTCCCCTGAAATACCTGAAATACCATTTTTCACGGACCATCAAATTGGCACAAAGAAAAAACAGGTAAGAGTAGGAACCTTTTGTCAAAACCCAGAAGCAAAAAAGGGAGAAAAATCGAGAAAATTCCATTACAAACCCCAGATGCAAAAAGTCAAGAAAACAATCCACCAATGGAAAATTAAACATCTATTTTACCATTGATCAAAAAGAGGGTAGGCCATGTAGCTCCTTCAAGGATTATTAGAGCTTGAAGACACCTTAATCGGAACCCAAACCCCATAGTCACAAACAGCTTTCGCCATAAGAGTCGACCGGATCTACAACTCAAGTGTGCAAAGGATGAATTGCAGCTTGACATTTTTGTCTCCGAACCCATGAGATGTGTTTTCCGTTCGTGATTTGAAACTAGATCTGAGATGAAAACAGAGAAGAAGAAGAAGAAAAAGAAGAAGAGAGAGCAGCGGCGCAGAAAAAAAATGAGAAAAATTTGTTTTTCATTCATGATTTGAGATGAAAACAGAGAAGAAGAAGAAGAGAGCAGCAGCAGCGCAAAAAAAGAAAAAAAATGAGAAATGAGCAATTTCGAGATCTGATTTGTTTTCTTTTTGTAAATAGAAAATTTGTTTGAATAAATTGGCCCACTAATTTGATTTATTTTTTGCTTAATTAGTTTTTTTGGTCCAGTCAGCAAATACATCAGCAAATTAAAATTATATGGTTAAACCCCCATTTTGGTCCCTCAACTATTGTACGGATCCCCGACTTAGTCCCTCAACTCAAAAAATCCCTGATTTGGTCCTTACTGTTTACCTTTTTTACCCCAATTTAGTCCCTCCGTTAAAAATCCAATGACGTGTCACGTTAATTAACTGCAGCATGATGACGTGTTTAAATAGAGTGACACCTCTTATGCATACCTGTAAAAAAAAATGACATGGCAGTATGATTTTGATCCAAAACTAAAAAAAAAGGAGTGGGCCCCACCTGAACCCTTCTCCCCCTTTCTTCCCATTCGAACCTAGAACAACAGAGCTCTCTCAATTTCTCAGCAAGAATCCACAGAAAAAAAAAAAGAGAAATTTTTTGTATTTTTCCCAGTTCCCAATTCCTCCTCAATTCCTTCATCAATCAATTCTTCATCATCATGAAACAACAAGATCCACAGAGAAAAAAAAAACAGAATTTTTTTTTACTTTTTGCTCTTGGGTTC